TGGCTAACAGCCCAACTATGTGTCAAATTTATGTTAACAAAGCAATCCAGCCACTTAGAAATCAAAATCCTAAACTACAAATATTTCACTATATGGATGATGTATTGTTAGCACACAAAGATAAAAACACATTTCTAGAATGTTATGCCACACTTACAAACTTATAAAATATTATAATCTAGAGATAGCAATAGATAAAGTACAGTTAAATTTTCCAATTAATTATTTAGGAGTTCTATTATCCTCAACCATGGTCCGTCCACCAAAAATTCAAATACGAGTAGATCAACTCAAATCACTTAATGACTTTCAAAAGTTATTAGGAGACATAAATTGGATAAGGCCTTATCTAGGCATACCAACAGGAGAGTTGGGACCTTTATTTGATATCCTAAAAGGTCCATCAGATCCAAATTCACCCCGCATGTTAACGCCTGAAGCAAGAAAGGCATTAAAAATTATTGAAACGTATATGGAAAATATGCATTTGGATAGAATTGATATAAGTTTGCCTTTATTATTTATTGTACTACCAACAAAAAATATTCCTACAGGAGTATTTTGGCAAGAAGGTCCATTATTATGGATACATTTATCTTATTCTCCTAACACTATTCTTACTAGGTATCCTGAGGCTGTAGGACAATTAATACTCAAAGGAATAAAAGCAGCAAAGGGAGTGTTTGGAATTTCTCCCAATAAAATTATTACTCCATATACTATGGATCAAATTGATGAGTTAGCTAATGAGTTAAATACTTGGGCAATAATCATGTGCAAATCTAATATTTCATTTGATAACCACTTACCATCTAATCCTTTATTGTCTTTTTGGTCATTGCATCCTGTAATTTTTCCAAAAATGACAAGAAAAACCCCTATCATGAATGCTCCAAATGTATTCACTGATGGGTCAAATAATGGTACAGCAGCAGTAGTTACCCCTGATCAAACTTTTACATTTTTAGTACCCAAACAATCAGCTCAAAAGGTAGAGCTTAATGCAGTTTTACAAGCTTTTGTGATGTTTAAAGATTCTGTATTTAATTTATTCTCTGATAGTCAGTATGTAGTTAATGCTATAGTATCCCTTGAAGATGCTGGCAGGATTTCCCCTTCCTCTACTGTTTTCTCTTTGTTTTCTGCTATACAAAGTCTAATCTGGGACAGAAAAGATCCATTCTTTATAGGACATATCAGAGCACATACAGGATTGCCTGGAGCCCTTAGTTTGGGCAACGATTTAGCAGATAAAACTACACATGACATACATATTTTATCTACACTAGAAGAAGCTACACATTTTCATAAAAGGTTCCATGTCAATGCTAATACTTTACAAAAGTGTTTTAAAATAACTAAGGAACAAGCTAGACAAATAATAAAACAATGTCAAAATTGTGTGACCTTTTTACCACAAGTTAATCTTGGAGTCAATCCTAGAGGACTGATACCTAACCATATTTGGCAGATGGACGTCACACACTTGCCACAATTTGGAAAATTAAAATATTTGCATGTTACAGTTGATACTTCTTCTGGATTTTTGATGGGCTCCCTTCATTCTGGAGAAAAAACTAAAGATGTTATAGCTCATTGCTTACAAAATTTTGCCACTGTGGGCGTTCCAAAACAGTTAAAAACAGATAATGGTCCTGGTTATACTTCTACCTCTTTTAAACAATTTTGCTCATCATTTGGCATTACTCATATAACAGGAATTCCATACAATCCACAGGGACAAGGCATAGTTGAAAGAGCTCATCAAACTATTAAAATGTACTTACTAAAGCAAAAAGAGGGAATTGGAAAGGGGTATATGTCACCCAAAGATAAACTTAAAATAACCCTTTTTACTCTAAACTTTTTAAATTTGGATTCCTCAGGGCTTAGTGCTGCGGAAAGGCATATGTGTCCGAAAAATGTACATAAGCCTAAGGTACTTTGGAAGGATATTCTAACAGGACAATGGAAAGGTCCTGACCCAGTGATTGTCTGGAGTCGGGGTTCTGTTTGTGTTTTTCCACAGGGAGAACAGCAGCCGATTTGGATTCCAGAGAGATTAACTAAAACAATTTCTACAGGCCAAAAGGAAGATGATTTGACTCAAATCCATAACAGCTGATATCCAGAACTCCAGTTTGGCTATTCTTACATCTGCGACAATGATTAACCAGGATGCTTTTTTTCAATATTTATTTTATTATTTGCCTTTTCCCACATCATAAAGTTCTATTTTATTTTTGAGCTCATACAGACCTAGGTTAATGTTTTTCTGATCAGTTTTATTTTTTGACTGTGGAGTTTTTAAGCATTGCAATGGAGATTTCACCTAGGTAAAGCTACAAGGCCTTTACTATTGTCTTATGTGTTGTATGTTATGTGTGCACACTTCTGTTTTGTGTTGTATGTCTGCGTGTGCGTATGTCCATATATCATATATGAGGAGTGCTCATGAATAAATGGATCCGAATTTTTTTATTCACGTGATTTTAATGGTTTAATTTAGATTGGGTAAACAGCTGTTGAAAATTGTTTTAATATGTGAACAAATAAGGAGGTTAACAGATCTGTTTGTTTACTTTCACCTTTCCTTCTCATTATATTTAATAATTCTGTTCAGGATAATGTAAATTGTTCAAAAAATTGTTTTCTTAGTGCCTGTTGGAATGTTACATAATTTTTTTTCTTAGCATCATTGCCAGAATTCCTATCTTCATCCCAGTGCCAGTGAAGACAAAGATAAAACCAAACTACAGCTTCTTCGATAGCTATCACAACAAACTGTAAAAACTGATGCATCAATGAATAATAACTCAACAAGTAATGCTCAATTAAGGAGTCGATTTACTTTGGGAGGAAATGGACATATTGACAGATTCCTCTGCTTTGAATTGCTTGCAGACCTTGCCTGGACTATGTATCACTTGTATGCATTGTGAACTATCTGTTGGTACAGCCAATTGTGCTAGTGCTGGAGTATTTTTGCTGATGGTGTCACCGGTGGTACAATTTTTCAAAGGAGCCCTCAATTGGCTTAGTGTCGTGGCATTTTGCATCCTCCTCCCTTCTACTAGTGATGGTCTAAAATTTGGGGGCCAACAGAGGTGAGGCAAAGAACCTCACCCCCCCACTGGTGCAAAGGCCTATCCACAAGTATGGCTGTATGCTGGACCGGTAGTCAGTGACGGGTATGATCCAATTGCAGTGGTACCAACCTAAGACAGGAGGCTGACGCCTAGAGGTCAGTTCATCCGATGACGGGTAAGGACCATATGTTGAATTGAACTGCCTAACAGGCACGGTCCCTAAGCCACATTGCTAGTTGTTTAGTTAAACAAAAAGGGGGAGATGCTGAGAGCCATGGCCAAGTCTGTATGGCCCCTGGCATTTTGCCAACAGTATTGATTGACAGGCGAGGCATTACTATCCGCCTCTGCCGCAACTTTTGAGTTCTCGCACTATTTTGGAGTTCTCGTGGGGATTTCTGGGGATTCCCCGAGAGTTCCCATTGGTTGGGGAAGTGCAGGAGGAGGGATTTCCGGGAGAGATATTTCCGGCTGGGGGTTCCTGGACAAGCCTCGTGGCGTTCGGGAGGATTCCCCGGGAGCTGTGTGAAGTGTTTTCCTGCAGTTTAAAAATAAAGTTTGTTCCTGCTTCAGTGGCTCGTGATTTGTGCCCAGCCAGACTGCGGCACCTGGGGTCTGAGGGTTAACCCATTGCCTTGGCCAGTGTTCCCCTAACTCCCCCTAATTCTGACCCCCCGGCGGGGGTTAAATCACTTGAGACTGGCTGTTGATTCCATCTCCCTCGCTGGATCAGGAACTCCTTGAGGGCAGCGTCTGTACCTTTATGTTCACTCCTGATTTTTTTTTGTGCTTAACCACGGAGCCATGTCCCCAGCCCTTTCTGTGTTTTATTTAGAGACAGGGTCTTGCTAAGTTTCTTAGGGTCTCACTAAGTTGCCAAGGCTGGCTCTGAACTCATGATCAGCCTGTCTCCGCCTCCTGAGTCCCTGGGATCACAGGCGTGTGCCACCACCCCCAGCCACTCACTCCTGAATTTCAGACACCGAAGGTGTAACTAGCAACTGACGCATGTTGGCTGCGTGGCTTCTGAGGAAAGGGGTGTCCAGGTTCGTATTTATGAGAGCTAATGGGGAAGTGACTGGCCCGTGTTATTGGAACAATTGCATTTCTTGGTTTTGACGGACGCACTGTGGTTCTATGAGATGGGAACTTTGTGGGGACTGGATGAGGGGCATGCGGGGACTCTCTGCTTCTTTGCAAATCTAAAACTATTCCCAGGTAAGGAATTTGCTTTAGGATATGAGGTGGGGACCCGGGTGTGGTGGTACGTGCCAGCAACTCGGCACTGCAGACGTCTCCTCCACCGGCCCATCTCATGTCCTTCAGCAGGATTGCTGGGTCACATGGCAGTGCTAGCTTTAATTTTTCTGAGGAATTTCCATAGTTTCCATGGCAATTGCATATTTTTCAGTCATACCAGAGTGTACAAGGGACCCGATTCTCCTACGTCTCTGTCAACACTCGTCCTTTTTAAAAAACCTTACCTACACTAGGACACCTTCAAGGTGAGACCAGGGCTGTGCTCAGGGCACTTGGGGACCATCCCTTCCACTCTGGCCTGCTCCTCCTTGGTCTAGTCTTTATCTACATTGGGACACCCTCAAAGTGTCAATGTCCTGTTTGGACTTTGGCCAGTGCTCCCTTAGAGGCTCAGCAGGAGTGCGCTTCCCACACTGAACAGGAGGACATCCAGCTTTCGGGATCTAACGTCCTTCCCAGGACAGACAGTGGCTCTTTGTGGAGCTGGTGGGACCCACTCAGTCTGTAGCAGGGCCTGCGTTCTGCCTGTCCCCTAGATTTACAGTGAGGCCACAGGTCAGGGGACACTCAGCACATCTGAGCACAGGTCAGAAATGTCCCAGGCAGCCGAGGCCTCCCTCTGTCACTGTGGGAAGAGGAAAGGAGGCAGCGACCTCTTCCTCTTTCTGTGGGGCATGATGTAGACACCCCAGAGGGGCCCAGCCAGCACATCCTGTCCCCTGTGTCCTCTGTGGGGCCCCAGCTCCAGACAGGGAGGCTGCAGGACCTGAGCCATGGCCCCCTGCTCCATTGTCCTCCTGGCCCTTGGTGAGTCCTGGACGGTGGGGACTGGGTGGAGGTGACAGGACAGGAACAGGTCCCTTCCCTGCACAGGCCTGAGCCAGCAAACCCAGCAGACTCTGTGCCCTCCCCCGGGGCTGCCCTCACTTCTGCCCAGGCTCAGTGTGACCAGGGAGCACTGGGTCCTAGAGACAGACACCTGGGTTGGGGACAGGCCCAGCCTTGGGAAGGTCTGGGCAGCAGAGAGACTCTTGGAAGGGGACCTGGAGGTCTCGCAGCCACCCCAGAGCAGGAAGAAGGCCACCCTGACCCTGGGGAGCAGGTGGCCTGGGAAGCAGGGAGGCTGAGTGCCCAGGCTCCACCAGGCCCTGCTGGCCCAGCTCTGGGGGAACCGGGGCGCTCTTCTCACTGGGCTTCTCTTCCAGGGCTCTGCCTGGGCCAGGAGATCCATGCACAGGAGGGTGAGTGCAGGTCCCAGTCCTCCTCACAGGGCAGCTGTGGACAGGGGCATGTGGATCCAGGAGCCTGGGGACCTTAACAGTGTCCCACGCGTGGGCAACCCCAGTGTGGCCCTCAGCCAGGTCCCTGTGTCTCTGCCTGTCTCCTGTGGTTTCCTGGGCTGAGCACAGTGCTCTCCCCTGACATGGTGGCTGCGTGTCTGGGGACGTGGCAGGATGCTCTGATGGCCCACCTGGGAGTGGGTAGGTGGGGTCAGCAGGCCTGGCCTCTCCCACTTACCCGTGTTGGTGGAGAGCGTCCATTCCTGCCCCTCAGCAGTTGTGCACCACACACTGTTACCAGCCACAGTCCCCACGCAGGCCAGTGGCTGTCCTCCAAGAGGCCCCTGGACTCCCTCCACCTCTGGCTGCAGTGTCCTGAGTGACAGGCACCTGGGCTTCTCCCACCCTGGGCCCTGTGGGTGGGGCAGGGGCCCGAAACCTGTCCTAGGTCTCAGCCAGGTGCCCCATGTCCCAGGGAGAGACAGCCACCTCCTCTGTGCCCTGATGTGCCCAGGGACACTTGTGCAGGGTCACAACTGGACAGGGTCTCCACCTGCCCGTCCTCCCTCCTCAGGAGGCTGTGTCTGTGCCTCTCCTGCTCCTGAGCTGTCAGCACACAGAGGGGCTCTGAGTGGACAGACAGGGACCAGGACTGAGGGAGATGAGGGGAGGAGATGGACTGTGTTGGCCCAAGGGTGGGACATTCCAGTGGGCAGAGGGGTCTGAGCAGGAGGCCAGCTGTGCAGCAGGTGACCAGCCAGCAAGTGCTAACAGGCTGAGAAGGAGGGGACAGTGTAGAGGACACCCCGAGGCAGAGGCTCAGCAGAGGCCCCTGGACCTGGCCCAGGGCAGGGAGGGGTGGGCACAGACTCAACCTTGGGTTGTGCACCTAAATTTAATTTGTGGCACAGCCACTCTGCCCAGGATGCCCAGGTGCCTGTCACTCACGACACTGCAGCCAGAGGTGGAGGGAGTCCAGGGGGCCTCTTGGAAGAAAGCCACTGGCCTGCGTGGGGACTGTGGCTGGTAGCGGTGTGTGGTGCACAACTGCTGGCCAAGAACCTTGGGCTGTGCACCTGAATTCAATCTGTGGCACAGCCACTCCTCCCAGTGGACGCTGAGCCGTTGTCTGCTTCCTCCCAGGGGCCCTGCCCAGACCCTCCATCTCTGCTGAGCCAGGCTCTATGATCCCCTGGGGGAGGCCCGTGACCATCGTGTGCCGAGCCCCTGCTGGGTTTGAGGACTCTCGCCTGGAGAAGGAGGGAAGCTCCCAGATCTGGGATAAGAGGGCCACGTGGCCTTCTGAGCGAGAGGCCAGGTTCCTGTTCCCCTCCATGAGTGAGGACACTGCTGGGCGTTATCGCTGCCGCTACCTAAAGTCCACGTGGTCTGAGCTCAGTGAAGACTTGAGGCTGGTGCTGAGCAGGGAGGACGTCACCCAGGTCACCACCCCAGGCCCAGCTCAGCCATCAGGTTGGTCCCCAGGTCCTGGACCCTGTCCCAGCTGCCATCCTGTCCAAAGCCTCCTGCCCCACCTGACCCCAGGCCCCTCCCTCTGCACAGTGTCCCCTCAGCCCTCATACCCTGAGGTCCCTGGAACCCTGGTCTCATGGGCCACTTTGTGTGAACTGGACACAGCCCCAGCATGGGGTGGGCATGGAGCTGGCCCTTCTGCTGGGTGGAGAGGGGTCCCCAGAGATGGCTGGGGGCAGACCCCTTCCAGAACAGTGTCTCTTCACTCAGATGGTGTGTTCACTGTCCTTCCCACGGGGCCAGAGCCTGGGTGGCTGTGGGTGCCCCTCTGGTGTGATCCCCTGCTACTGGGCAGGTCACCTGGGCCAGGGATAACCCTGACCAGGGCTGGATGGTGCAGTGGGGAAGCTTTGGGATGTGATGGTCCATGCCCTGTGTGTGCTTGCCCTAAGATGTCCTGGAGTCAGGTCCAGTGCAGTGTTGGCCTGCCTCAGTGTCTCCTCAGGCTCCGAAGAGCTGCCCGGTGCTGATTCTGTGAGGTCCAGCAGGGGAAGGTGGTGGGAGAGGCCGAGAGAGACCTGCCCCAACAGCGTGGGTTATGTTGGGGCTCTCCTGTCCTTCCTGGCCCCTGATCTGCTCCTCAGGAGTCTCAGGACATTGTCTGGGGCTGAGCAATGGCCAGTTGTGTCCTCTACTTGAATGCTCAGGGTGAAGTGGGCAGGCTGGTGGGATAGGCTCTAAAGGGCCCCCAGTAAGCTCCTTGATCTAACCTGCCCCCTTTTCAGAAGCCTGCAGCCCACAGGTCCCCTCACAGAGCCCTGCTCCTCTGCAGGGGACTCACAGTGGGAGGGGCACTAGGCCTCTGAGCTGGGTCCAGCCTAGGGCCCAGCCCTAGCCCTGGCTTTGGAGTGGAGCTCTGGGAAGGCCAGAGTGAGGGGCACATCCTCAGGCACCGGGATGTCCCTGATACGCGGGACTCTAGGCCAGGCTCTGCTGAAGCATCTAATGCCCCAGCAACCCGTGAGGCCGGGGCAGGCCGACCCTGCAGCGCCTCCCCCATTGCTGAGACCAGAGAGCTAAGTCCCTCTGTCAAAGGCACAAGGCTCTGAAGGGGCTGGGGCAGAACCAGTCCCGGGGCCACACCCCAGGCCCAGGGTCCCCAGCTACACCCTACCTGGAGCCACCAGGACCCACCTTCCAAACCCTGACCTGAGAGAAGGGTAAGTTCTTGGTGGCTGTGGCTGAAGGGTTAGGGAAGTCCCCCGGGGAAGGTGCCCTGGGGAGGAGGCACAGCCCGTGCCAGGTGACAGGGATGAAGTCCTGAGGCCTGCAAACCCTCCCAGGTGTCTCCCGGCTCTGCCAGGTGCTGCGTGGTGGGGGTGAAGCTGCGCCCACTCCCCGGGGCTCAGATGGTCCAGCCTCCTCTGTGTGCTGTGGCAGGACCTTCCGGGGGAACAGCAGCCTGCAGACCCTTCCCCACCACATCTCCACTTCCTGAGCCCTGGAAGTGCGGCCAATACAGGGAGGACCAACCTCTCCTTCCTCTACCTCTGGTTCAATCTGAGCATCCACAGCCGCTGGTGCCCACTGCATTGGGCAGCACAGATGTGGGGAAGCCCCTCTGGGCAGGGCTAGTCTGGAGGGAGAGGCCCAGGGTCCTGCAGGCGGCAGAGTGGGTGGGGAGGACTCTGCTGGCTGGGCCCAGCTCTGGCCTCTGACCCCCCTCCTCCAGACCCCTCCTCCCCAGGAGCAGCACAGGTGGCTTCAGAGGACGGTAACAACCCTGGAGAGTGACATCCCGCATGAGCCTGGGTGTGCCCTGAGGAAGGGGAAAGACTGGCTTTGGTGGTGGTCAGATTCCAGCTCTGCCAGTGCCCAGTTTGTCCCTGGGCACAGAGAGCGTCCCCTGGGCCCCCCTGGGTCGGGTGAGAGTGACTCCCTGTGGCAGCAGAGCTGTGCCCAGGAGGTCTCACGTCCACGCCCAGTAGCAGCACCGGGGGCTGTGCGGGGTGCTCACACCCGTCCCACCCCCAGCCTCCCCTGCTCTACTCCTGACCACGGAGCACCTCTACCTTCTCATCGGGGTCCCCCTGGCCTTGCTCCTGTGTCTCCTCCTCCTGTTCCTCTTCTGCCTCCATCGCCAGCGTCAGAGGAAGCAGGGTAGGACTTCCCGGGAAGGGCCGGCGGGCGGCTGGGCGGGCTGTCGGTGCTGGGAAGAAGGCCTCCCTCCTAAACTCAGACCCTGACTGTCCTCAGGGCCTCCCGGTGGCAAGGGCCAGTTGCAGAGGCCACAGGAGAGGTGAGGCCCCTGGGAATGACCCCGCCCTGCCCAGTCCTCAGCCTCTGGCTGCCCTAGTGCTGATTTGTTCCTTCCCACAGGCTGGGCCTGGCTGTGGACAGCCTGGAGAGGTCACCAGGTAAAGGCCTGAGAGGAGGGACAGGCCTGGAGAGGGAAGTGGGGGCTCAAGGGGTCAGGAGGCAGCAGGGGAGGAGCAGGTTTAGGGCCTTTCTGGGAGGTTCCAGGTGGGTACAGAATGAGATCTGATCAAGCTGACCTTCTGTCCACCGCAGAGAACTGACCACGTGTCTTCTTCCCTCCAGACTTGGCCACGGCTGATAGACTCCCTGAGAAGGACAGGGAGACCGGAAACCCTGTAAGTCTGCCTGGGTCATCTCCCGCTGCATAAGGAAGTCCCCAGATTAGCAGCCCAGCAACACTGTCCCCATTTCTTGGGTCAGGACGTTGGGAGCAGCTGAACTGGCTGGTTCTGGCTCAGGTCTTTCATGACGCTGCAGTAGAGGTGTCCACTAGGTTGCAGGAATCTGCAGGCCTGCCTGGGCAGGAGGACTCACGTCCAAGGTGGTGTACCCCACATCCAAGGTGGCACACCCCACAGCAGCTGGATTACCCAGAGGGAAACCAGGACTGGGATGGGCAGAGGACACACTGTCTTCTGTGGCCTCACTGGAGTGACCTGCCACCACTTCTGCCACTTCTGGTGGTCCCACAGATCAGCCCTGGTACCCTGTGTGCAGGGACTGCAAGATGATGTGATCCAGGAGGTGGGGCCCTGAGAAGTGGCTGCCATAGTCCCCCACCCCACAGCTCCCACCCTCATCCAGGGTCCCTCTCCCTCAGGCCCCTGCTGCAAGAGATCCCCAGGAGGTGACATATGCTCAGCTGGACCACGGAGCCCTCACAGAGAGGGCAGCCCGAGCTGGGTCCCCACTGACCACAGAGCCCAGCACATACGCGACCCTTGCCAGACACTGACTCCTGGGCCTGAGGACACTCCAAGTCACTCTTCCAAAAGCCTGAAGCAGCCATTGGGAGGACTTCTCTTGGACTCACCAGGTCTCAAAGTCAGCCAGTCATCTCTGCTGGGGACAGCAGCTGGGGCCTGGAGGTCTCTGAGCAGCATCTGGGAGATTCATCCACCAGGTGGCCCCTGCCACAGCTGACCAGCTGTCAGAGAGGCTGTGTCACAGCTACTTCCAGAGACCCAGCCTCAGTCCCTGGCTGTTTCCAGAGACCAGAAACCAAGGTCTCATCCTAAGGCTGCTTCCAGAGAACCAGCAAAGGCCACTCCTGGGATCCCCACCTACTTCAGAGACTGCATACTGATGATGCTCAGTGGTCCCTAACGGCCTCCCTGGGTTCCAGTGCTGACTTGACTGAGACTGGGCTGCACTCAGGCTGCCGAGAGCTGAGCTGGATCTCTGGGCCAGACCTCACTTGGTACATCAATGGACATCTTTAAAACAGAACATCCCAGCCCCGGTGGTCAGGCCAGAGAGGTTCATGTGGACCCAGTGCTGCGGTCTCAGCTGTTCAGAGCAGAGTGGGGGCTACAAGGGCTGTCAGTGCTTCCTGTTTTCTGCAGAACATATCGAATTGAGCAAGGCTGCATATATTCGGGGTGTGCGCCATGAGGACCTGACCCAGGCATGCGCCCTGTAGATTTCCAGAATCAAACCCTCAGCACAGCTGCACCTGCACGCTGCACGTTAGATCCCGGGACTTGCTCATCTGAAGACTGGAAGCCGGTCAGTGTTTCCTGATGGAGCATGAGGGTCGGGGTGGAGAAGGGAGGGGGTCTAAAGGGAGGTGCAGAGGGCAAAGGCTGCCCCACCCACCCCCACCACACTCATGCACATTCAGGCACACCTAACACATGCCTTCGCAACACGGCCCACGCTTCCGTGCACACACAGGCACATTGCACACACCCACTCTCACACCCCAGGAAAACCCCCGTACCCGTGGGATGGGTGAGGTGTCTCCTGTTTCAGATTAAAATAGAACAATTACCCTGTGGACCACTAGGGGGCGGGAGTGCCTCATCTTGATTAATATGTGTGTCTGTCTCAAAAACCAATCAATCAACAAACAAATAAATAAAAAGAAGAATCCCAAAGGAACAGAGAACTTTTTGTGTGCGTGTGCACGTCTTAAAATTATGAGCCCTTCACGGGATATCAGACATATGTATACAATCGTCAAAGAAAAGAATAAAATAACAGGATCCTGCAAACCTGTTATAGGGCGAGATTTAAACCGTGTGTGTGTGTGTGTGTGTGTGTGTGTGTGTGTGTGTGTCCCTGCGCGTGCTGGTACAGAAAAGAGAATATTTAAAAAGAGAACAAAATTCAGCTGGCTCTTCCAGGGCTGATGGCCATCTGGGTTCGACGCCAACATCAGGGCACGCCCTTGTCCCACCGTCCACAGCGCCGCGTTCTCTGCTTTGCTGGGACCTAGGGACCGCGCATGGGCAGTCTCGGTGTGTCACGAGCTGGACCGACGGGGTCCTTGTCCCGGCTCCGAGCCTGGTGTCCACCTCCGATGACCCTCCTTGGTCTGCTCTTTCATTTTCCGCTCCCTGCGGTTGGCTTTCTGCGGGGATCTGCCTGCTGCCCCCGCCCCGTATCTGGTTCCCTGCTGCGACAGCGAGAGCGATTTTCTGTTGGATGGGTCCAGCTCCTCTCCGTGTCTGTCCCGGGTATTTTCAACTTCATCCTGGCGTTTCTCCAAGAATCCTGCTGGCGCAGAGCTGGACAGGTGGCTGGAGGCTCTTAGCAGAGGATGGACCCTGGCATTGCGGGGCGGCGGGGGGGGTCCTTCTATTTTCCGCCACTCCCTGGGCACAGGTGCACACCAGGCCCTGCGACCCCCAGAGCGCCACCGTGGCCTCTGGAAAGCGGGACAGGAGCTAAACAGGACACCACATTTTCTTTCCTGAGGGGCAGTGGGAGGAGGAGGGCCAGGGAGAGGACAGAACAGCAGGGACAGGACTGGCCTTCCTCCCTGATCCTCGGACCTGCAGGACACAGGTCCAGGGGCGAGAGGCAAGAGAGCAATCTCCAGGCTCCAGGCCACCGCTGCAGGAGGCAGCACTAGCTAGCACACCCAGGGTCAGGCCAGCTGAGTGGCCAGGGGAGGGAAGGACCCCCTTGACTAGGGACCCCCCTCCCAGTTCTGAGAACCCTGTCTGGGGCCCAAGCCAGGGATCCCCTGCTGGCCCATCAAAGAGAGATGGCACCTGACCAGTTGGGGCAGGAGCAGATGCTCACGGAGGTCCAGGACCCTTGGACAAAGTGGACGCTTAGTTCACAAGAAGTGTCGCCAGGTTCAAGGGAGCAGGGAGGGGAGGGAGCCCCGAACTTTGCCCACAGACTTAGGTGGCCCCCTCCACCTGGCAAGCAAGTGAGACCTCAGTCAGTCTGACCAGAGGACCAGCGGGAGGACCCAACACCACCTGGGCCACCTGCTCCCTCCAGCAGGACACCACCCAGGAAGGAGATGGGGAGGGGGTGCAGAGATGGACTTCACCTGGAGAGAGTGGCTATCATGACATTTTAACCTGGGGGGAGCCGAGAGGGCAGTGATGGAGGAGGCAGCTTATGAGACGGACCAGAGACGTTGTATTTCTCCTGCTGAGCCAAGTTGCATCACGACCTTGGAACACACACACACACACGCGCACACACATGCACACACATGCACATACGTGCACACACATGAACACACACAAAACACACATGCACAAACACAATACACACATGCACAACACATGCACACACAACACACACATGCACAACACACAATATGCACACACACAACACACACACAACACACACATGCACACACAACACACACATGCACACACAACACACACACATAACACACAACACACACATGCACACATGTGCACACATATCTGTGATGGCCCCTGCACTCCCATGAAGTAGCACTTCCCGTTTTAGTTTCCTGAGGAGTGAAGTGTCCCTTCTTGTGTTTTTAATGATGCTTCAACAAAATAGAGCGAAGTCCAGTGCATGGAAAGTGCTGGGCCACATGCCCGAGGGACGTCTTCATTTGTCCCAGTTTCCGTGCGTATCGCCATGCATACAGTGATTGTTCACCTACTCCATCAAAGGCACCGTCCACCCTCACACTTTTTGGACCATGGTGGGTCTGTAGCACATTGGGCTGAGCACACGCCCCTCTCACAGGGGTGGCATCTAATAGTAATGCACCCTCCTGCTGGCCAGCCTTCCCAGGGGGCCGCAGTTGGCATGATTGACGGGTCGTGGGCCACGGTGCTGCGTACCTGCTGCATCTGCGTTTAGTGTGTGGGTGAGTGAGTTTCCACAGGGGCCTTTTGCTGGACTTTTCTCCCAGTTTCTTTGGGAATCGAGGGGGCTGTCTTCACACAGGAAGAGAAGGGCTCTTATGAGCAGAGTGGACCCCACGGCTGAGCCCAGACACCGGCAGCCCCCGGGGATGCCCTACACCCATGAGCAGGCGCTTCCCAGTTCTGTCCAGGGCAGAGCCCGGGCTGAGTCCTTCCTTAGAGCCCTGGGCCAGAGGGCAGTGTTAAGGAACAAGATCTACTGGCACTTGTCCACGCACAGCAAGGAAGGCCTTACCTTAGGGGACCATTGTGACAGGTGGGGGGACCACCATGATGGGATCTTGCAGTGAAAGAAAACCCAGGTCTGAGTGCAGCTCGGGCAGAGTGGCTGCATCAGGGAGGGGGGGGGTCAGCTGGTGGACAAATACCAGAGGAGGTGTCGGGGAGGGGCTCCCTGAGCCGAGGGGGCAGGATTCTTGCTGAGGGCAGCCAGGTGCCCAGGCACCAGCTGGTGGTGGGGACCCATCAGACCCCAGGGTGAGCAGGTGGAGGGTCACACTGACACCACAGGGTGCTGGATGGAGGACAAGACAAGCCCAGAGCCAGGGCAAGGCGGAAGGGAGCCCAGGGACGCAGGAGCAGGGTTGGTCAACGGGAGCATTTTATGAAGGGGTGACCTGAGGTCTGGGCCTCTCTGGGGGAGGGTCTGACCAAGAGTCACACAGAATTTGGCCTTGAGTCTTGGACAGATCAACGACCCCAAGAGCTCAGGACATTTCTCCTTGAAGAAACACCGCCCCTGGGTGGCCTCCCTCTGGGCTTGAGGTCAGAGTCTGGGGGGAGTCACAGGTCTCAGCTCTGCAGAGGCTGAGCCCACCCGGACTCAGGAGCCACCCGGCTGAGATTGGGCACCCCCTCCTTCTCCATCAGACCCCATCTTGCCACCCCCAGAACACTACGGGCACCTCCCCATCCCCAGCTCTGCCTGGAGCCCACCTGGAGCCCAGGCTCCCCCAGCCGTTCCCTCATCTGTGACCTAGAAGGCTCATTTCCTTCCCTCCATACCACGGTCTTCTTGTCCGTCTCCTCTTCAGGGGGCTGGTCCCTTACCCAGGAGGCCATGGTGTCCTTAGGCGCCCTGGGTCAGAGCTGGCTCCTGGCTGCCTCCCCAGGGTGAGCAGGCGCCTGGGCTGCCAGAGGAGGCCACCAGAGACTCAGAGCCCAACGGAGGCTTCCCCAGCGGGCGGCACAGGACCCGGCTGAGAAGGTGAAGAGAAGAGGTGTCCCTGACACGCAGCAGCTCCCTGGGGCTGGACAGCAGCACTGGGAGCCAAGGACACGCCAAGAGCCACGTCCTGGGTCCTGGGGGAGGCGCTGGCTTCCAGGAACAGAGAGGGGGAGGGGGGCGAGCCACAGAGGTCAGGGATGTGGCTCTCAGACCCCCTTCCTGAGCCTCGGAGCCCTTGGGCCTACATGGGCCCCAGGAAGCCCATCAGAGTCCCAGACAAGAATCCAGCCACACCCAGAACCACCGGGGGCTACAGTCCACCAGTCCCAGAACCACCCATCAGGGCTTGCCCAGTGGTCTGGGTGCACGGGCCTCTGTTGGCCTGGGAGCCTTCAGATCAGAAGGGGCCAGCTGGGCATCAGGAGGCCAACGTGCCACCATCTGCCCTGTCCCACGCATCCTTAGTGCTCCCCAGGGATGGAGCCTGCCTGGGGGCCAGGCGGCTGAGCAGGGCTCAGGTCCAGGGCCCCAGCAAGAGAGCAGGGGCAGGCGGGACCAGGGCCCAGAGCTGACCAGGGTCACTGCCCTGGGGAACAGGGTGGAATCGGAGCGAATGTCCTCGCCGTGTACAAACAGCCCTGCGCAGGCGCCTACAGATGAGATGATGCTAGGTCGTCAGGAGCTGGTCACCTCCCTCCCACGAGGGTCCTAGCAGTTAGTGTGAGAGTGTCTTAGGGGAACCAGGAGCCCGTCAGGACCAGAATCCCTGACAGGAGGTTTCCAGCCCCCGGTGACCCTGTGTGGGCTTCTAGGTTTCATCCCAAGTCCACTTGCCCCCATCCGTCTGTCCATCTATCCGTCACCCACCCGTCAGTCCATCCACCACCCACTCTCCAGCCGTCGTCATGTCCGTCAGTCAGGTACCTCGCTGTGTATCAGGCGCTGTGTGGGTCTGCCTGCTTCTGCCAGCTGAGTGCTGTCGGTCTGTGTACCCGTCCTGCGGACAGTGGCCACGTGGGCTAACCTGGACACGTGTGCAGTCTAGCTGTGAAATACCTCACTGGGAACACCTTCCGGAACCCACGACCTGCCGTGGTCACGTGGGGGAAGTTAGAAAAGGCCCAGAGCCTGTCTGGACCTGCTATTGAGCAAGGAAACCACCAGCAGAGAGCAGTGTAGGTCGGGAGGTGGGATCACAGGCAGCTGAGTCCTTCCCTGGTCAAGCTGACCCTTGATGCCCCTCGAGGACCCTGCACTGTGGGTGACTTTCTCACGGGGTCTTTTTCCAGTGCTCTGCCTGGGCCAGAGGAGCCACACGCAGGAGGGTGAGTCATGCCCACAGGTCCTCACCGTCCACCCAGGCCACTCTGGAGGGCGGTGGTGTCCACCCTGGGAGGGAGCCCAGCCCCAGCCTACACACATGAACACCGCCTCAGGCTTCTCCCGACGGCTGCGGGCCCTGCCAGGCAGCAGCCGCCTCCCGCTCAGGGCCTGCCCTCTGGCCAGGCTTCGCCCCACACACTGGCCTCCAGGTCCCAGCCCCACATTTCCTCAG